TCCCCTTCCTTTAAATACTTAGGAAAATACTCATTGTACTCCTGTGAACAAACAACCAGTGTTCAGGCATGAGCAGGAGATTTAAACCATAGGCTTGCCATAATACCTTCAAATGTTGGCTTTAAAAGGTACAAATATGTAAACTCAGTAGTTCTCAACAGGGTCAATTCCACCACCCCTGACATTTCCACAACTGGAGGTGGTACTGGTAAACATCCTGCAGTGCATACAAAGGCCCCAAAACAAAGGATTATCAGGGTGGAGCTCATGGGAGAGTGCTTGCCCAGCATGCCCAAACCCTGGGTTCAATCCCAAGAACCACAAAAAATAAAAACAAAAAACTCCCACAAGAGAATTCTAAGGTCCGAAAGTCAATGGTATGGAGGATGAGAAACTCTATGGTATGTAGATTATAGTCATTCAGATAAAAAGCCAGGCACAGTGGTGCACCCCTGTAATTCTAGTGACTCAGGGAGCTGAGACAGGAAGATTTCAAGTTCCAGGACAGCCTTGGCAACTTAGTTGAGATCTTTTCTAAAAATAAAAAAGGGCTAAGGAAGTAGCATAGTCATAGAGCACCTCTAAGTTCTATCCTGAGTATCAAAAACAAAATACAAACACAAAATAACAAAGAATGAGGCCTAAAGAAATTAAAGAATGTGTCCAAGATCAGCTCAGGTAAATGCAGATCAAAACTAGAACTTAAGTGTTCTGATTTCTACAGTTAGAAGATGAAGGAAATGAAAATGGAGAAAAGACTCTTATGGTTTGTAGCTTTTATTGAAAGTCCATTTGGTAGCTAAAAGGGCTCTGTCAGTAGAACCAAGATACCTCATTCCCAGAAAACCCTTGTTTTCAAAACTCAGTTCCATATTCTCTCTCTCTCTCTCTCTCTCTCTCTCTCTCTCTCTCTCTCTCTCTCTCATAAGCAATTGGGAGGAAGAACCACAGGCTAATGGGACACTATCAAAGAAATAAATCTCCTAGAAGATACAGGGATAATGCAACAGGGTCACCTAAAAGAATCCAACGGATAAAAATCCTTCATTTTGGATACAATGTCTACTCTTGAACAGTAGCAGTTTTCATCTTGTTCCTAGTCTTTTGACTCAAACAAAACATTTCCTTCTTGAACAGAAAACAACCTATTTTAGTTTTAAGCATTTAATATTGGGAAATGTATATACAATGTCTGGCTTTGGCCAGGTGTCATATTAACTACTTGGGAGGCTGAGGCAGGAGGATTGTAAATTCAAGGACAGCCTAAGCAACTTAGCAATACCCTATTTGGGGGGGGGGGGAGAATTAGATAAGAAGGGCTGGAGATATAGCTCAGAGGTAGATCACCACTAGGTTCAATCCCCAGTATAGCAATTGAGAGAGAGAGAGCGCGCCAGAGAGAGAGAGAGCCTGAAGAGAGGTCTGGACCTTGCCTTGACTATCTTAGTTTATATAGGACCAGTCAAATTCAATAGTTTCAGGTTGAGGTAATCAGAAATATCAACCATGAAATTTAGATGGGGGCTTTGCATAATGTAGTATCAGTAGATGTGGAGGTTGAATTCAATCACATGAACAATCAACCAGTCATTAATGAAGCCCCAATAAAAACTCTGGACATCAAGGCTTGGATGATCTTCCCTGGCAATCAATTCTTTGTGTGTACATACTGTCACCATCAATGCTTACAGGGCAACATATCCTGAGAACAATGGAAGCTTCATATTTGGAACCCCTCTAGATTCTGCCCTATGCATCTCTTCCTTTGGCTGATTTTTCTGCTTATCTTTCCCTACATAAGCCATAATCTTGAGTAGTACAGCCTTCACTTACTTCTAGAAGCACTTCTAGACAATTATTGATTATGAGGGTGGTTTGGGGAGTCATCTGAACTTGGATTTGCTATCAAAGGTGAGGGTGGTCTTGGAGGGTATGGCCTCAATTTTATCATTTGGCTAACTTTAGGCAGGAACATTAGTTTATTTTCCAATGTAATTCTGGATATTTCCAGACTCTAGCTTGTATAATCATTGCCCCTTTGGTTTATGTGAGCACTCTGAGACTTACTTTTAGTCAACAAAATGTGGCAAAGCTGAGAATGCACATGTGATCATGTTTATTTGAAGGCCACAAAAGACCATGTTGCCCACCTTGCTATACATAACCTCCCTCTCCAGTGTAAAGCAGGCTGCATGTCGCAAGCTGCCCTATAAAGGAAGTCACACTGCAAGGAAGGAGGCCTTCAGCTAACAGCAGAAAACTGAGGCCTATAGTCCCAAATTCTGCAAGGATCTGAACGCTGCCAACAACTCTTCCCCATTGGACCCTCAAAATGAGGCTCCAGTTCTGGCTGCATTTCAAATGCAGCTTTCAGATGAGATTCTGAAGCAGGCAAACAAACAAAGCCATGTCAAACTCCTGACCCACAGTAGCTGTGAAATAGTAAGTGTATGTTATTTAAAGTCATTAATTTGTGATAATTTCTTACACAGTACTAGACAACCATCACAACAATCAGAAACACACCATGAGAGGGAAATTTATAAAATGCAAACAGGGTCATAATTACTTAATGGCTTAAGAATTTCTCAGTAGTCTCTCACTGATTACAGACCAAAGTCTAAACATTTTAGGTGTTTTAGTCAGCTTTTTCACTGCTATGACTAAAGGACCTGACCACAACAACATTAGGGGAGAAAAAGTTTATCTGGGGGTTCCAGTTTCAGAGGTCTTAGTCCATAGCTCCATGCCTTAGGGCTCAAGGTGAGAAAAACATGGCAGAAGAGTGTGGTAGAGGGAAGCACCTCACATGGTAATCAGAAAGCATGGGACTGTGCAGGGTGGGGGCAGAGAGACAGAAAGAGAGATCTCCACTTTCCAGATACAAACACATACCCCAAACCTATGGCCCAAAGCCCCACCTCCTCTAGCCACACCCCACCTGCTTTCAGCCACCACCCAATTAATCCCATGAGGTGATTAATTCACTGATTGTGTTGAGACTCTCAATCCAATCATTTCTTCTCTGAACCTTCTTTCATTGTCTCACATGTGAGCTTTTGGGGACACTTCACATCCAAACCATAATAGTAGGGTATAAAAGACTCTTTTTAATCTGATTCTGGTTCCTTGTCTAATCAAATCTCTTAAAATAGTCCATTCTGTCTCATCTTTTCTCTTTCTCCCTCACTCTAAGCTCCAGCCAAATTCAACCAAGTACAAGTTTTTAAAAATTATCTATCCATCCCTTCCACAATAAGCTGTGCCTCTTGCCTGGAACACCGCAATGCCATGCAACCCTCCTCTTTTCAAATCTCTATAGAAGTCAGCGTGGGTGCACCTCCTTGACCTCAACCAATAAAGGTTGTGGCTTCTTCCAGTATCAGCCAGCCCTGTGTACATTTCTGTGCAGCAAACCCAACTTACATTCTAGTTGCTTATTAGCTGCCTTTCTGTTGATTTAGACTACAAGAAATCCTTGAGGGGGAAAACTGAATTCTATTTGTCTAAGTTAGTTTGTAGTTCTGGCACAGATCTGGTGCTTAATAAAGTTTTATTAAATAAATGAACGCTCATAAAATTATACTTACTGGTCATAACTTTTCAAGGAAAGACATTACAATACACAAAATAATTTTCTGTAATCCAAAGTACCAAATTGTAGCATTAATGAAACCATGACTTCAAGGTTTTCCAAATCTGGACATATATCTATCCAGCTTACATTTCAGCTCCATTAACCTGCCACACAATACCAATCAATATCTACTGTTTTATGATTACATATTTTTAAGACCCTCTACTGTTTTAAAAAATAAATTTAAGGTGGGAGTGGTGACACACACCTATAATCCCATTGGCTTGAGAGGCTGAGACAGGAAGATATTGAGTTTGAAGTCAGCCTCAGCAACAACAAGGTGCTAAGCAACTCAGTGAGACCCTGTCTCTAAATAAAATACAAAATAGGGCTGGGGACGTGACTCGGTGGTTGACAATCCCCATCACCAAAATAAATGAACAAATAAACAAATGTGATAAAAAAGAAAATTCAGAAAAGTTTACTCTACCTTTAAAGCCATAAAATCAATAATTTATCTCAACCAAAATCAGAGCATATCATAATTAAAATTAAAGTAATTCACATTCAAATAAAAACTTGAGTGTTAAAAGTTTTAGTTTATCTAAACTTTGATTTGAAATTTGCTAAAACCAATTTTCAATAGAAAATAAAACTGGTATTCTTTCAGGTTCCATTTTAACAAAATATTCATATTTGTTAAATTTTTACCTTAGAGAAAAAAGAAATATTACTTTGATTGCCAAAAGCACTAAAGAGTAATACAAATAAAAGTGCCTAGGTTTTAAAAAGTGAATCTTCAAAGTTACTTACATGGTACCTATAATACCACTTTAACTTTTTAAAATCAATTTAATATTAAAATAAGTTTATGCAGTTCCATTCATTCAGCAAACAAAAATATTTTTATTACCAACCCCAAAATTATAGATCAATTTTATTTTTAAACAACTAATTCTCATACATGGGTTTTTATTACATGTAACTAAAATAAAGGAACAAAAACACCAAAAGATCAAATTATAAAATAAATTAGGCTAAAACTAAATATTTTATTGGATATTTCTGACTATAAAATTAATTAAAAACTTTGGACAAGACCTTTAGTCCATATAAAATTAGAAGCACAGACCACATTTTGGTTTTAGTGTTCTATTTCATTCAAAAAGCAGGTATTTTATCTCATGGGAAAGCAGCAAAATGAAAATTGTGATTTTTGTAACTATGTCATTTTATAAACTCATATTCACTAAAAGATTAGTGATTATTACACAAGATAAAAAGAACATGGGTCTGTATTCAGTCGAAGCAGCCAGATAGCAGCGATTTCCAACATCTCCAGCACAGTTCTCTAGTACAACACCCTGCATTTCACCCTAGAGGAGGAATGTTGGCAAAGATCTTTACCACATGGAAACTGCTCTCTTAAAGCTGCTGGGCCCTGAAATTTTATTCAGCAGTTTGAAATCAATCCACTGCTTTCCTCACTCGCCCTACCACTTGGGGCTAATGCACAGGCATGAACACCTATTGAGGAAAACCACAAAAAACTTCAAAACGGCTGTAACGGTAGGCTTTTCCCCCCACATATTATTTTAAATATTATTTGCTAAAGTGTGATGTATCTAATAGTCTTAATAAATGTAAAGGACATTTCTAATGTGTTTAAGTTCAGTTACCTTGAACAATTAATTTTTAACAATTATTTTCATCTATCATTACATTACATAACTTAATATTGAGGCAGATAAGAACTGGGTGTTACAAAACTCACAAACTCATTTTATTCTTAATTTTCAATCACTGGATTTTTGAGAAATTGGCATCTATAATGTAGCATCAGCAACTCTGTATGATTCTGAAGTTACTTAAGAAATAATCTGAAATATCTGCCCACCAGATAAAATACACTGATGAATCTAAAAGAATCCTTTCCAGTATGTTCCTCAAAGTTCCTTGATTAAACACTGCATTTCCTCTAGTCTACAATACTATTGTTTCAGTTTTCATAGTTTAAACTGAAAAGACCTTATTATTAATTAAAAATAGTGATAATCTATTAAATTTACAAAACTCTATATTCTGTAAGTATTAATGACTACATGATATGAAATTAAGATTTAAGTTTTAAATTTTTTCTAGGAACTTGTTTCAAAAAGCAAAATCAAGAGTTCTTATAAAGCAGCAAAGTTGAAATATGATATTTTTAACTCACATGAGACAGATCTTGGGTCTTCATTTAACTATTTCTACTACAGGTATCCTAAAAATATTTCATTGTATACAAGTACCTCTATTGAAGGCACTTAATTATTAAGAAACTTAAATTATCAACCTCTCTTAAATCTTTGATAGACAATAAATAAAACTTTCTAAAACTATTTTTCAGAATGTTTACTGATACATGCAAACTGCTAGTATCTAATTAAAGATCACTAAGGGTTAAATACTTGTTCTCTGGCCCCTACTGCGTACACTCTGCCAAAACATCCTCTAAGCTTTTAAATATTGCTTCGATGGTCTGCATTTTTATTTCCAGGGAAAAGCAGAGTTTTGTCCCACAGTCTGCAGGCCACTGGTTTATTAACTTCTAGTCACCTTGATTTCTGCTGAAATGAAGACTGTGCAGTCTACACTGCTCCTGTTACTGTTCATGCCTCTGACAGAGCCAGCACCACCAGCTCAGCAGGACTCAGGCATCACCCATGAGTATGGAACAGATAACTTGGAAGAAACCATATTTAGCCAAGATTATGAGGATAAATACCTGGATGGAAAAAATATTAAGGTATTTTATTTCTATTCTAAATTTACCTTCTAAAATAGTACCCATTTAAATGTACATTTTGTTTTTCTTCAATTTATCTGATAAAGTAAGGGGAAATGAAAAGCATTTTAAATGGTTAAAAGTAATTCATAATAATTGTCCCCTGAGATTATACTTTTAGAACATGCATGACTTCCAAATTAATAAATACTACTTATAGTAACCAAATAGTTGCTATAGTAAACAAAAAATAAAATTTAAGGGAAACTAAACTTTAAAGATGATCTCCGACCAGTTGCAATTTATATATTATGTTATTCAATGCCCTATATTTGCATATTTTACTGCCTAAAAAATAAATTAATGAGAATAAAGATGAATTCTTAGCTTAGTTTATTATTTTGGGAAAAAATGGTTCAAGGAAATGACCAGAAGAGCACTGGTTATGTCAACTACACAAAGTACCAAAAATTGAAAAACAAATTCATAGGGGCTTTCTTTTAAATCAGTTTTAGCAGTTTAGACTCTATATCAGTTTGCAAGGATCTGCAACTGTTATTGAGTTAACATTCTACAAGGAGAGTTTCTATAACACATCATTCACATCTCACCTTCAAGCAATGTAATTATTTGTGGTTTTCTTGGCACACAGAAATGAATATTGGTTAAGGAAAAAGTTACATAGCACATAACTATCTGTTGCCCATTGTATGCGTCATACACACATACACACATACAATGGAAAACCAGAAATGTAGCCAAAAATATAATAAAATTGGTTGCTGGATAAGTTCTTCTCTGCTATAAACCAGAGGGTGAAGATTTTAAGACTGACTAGTTAAATTACTTTTCTTTTTGCACAGAATAAGCAAATGTTAATACCATTGTTTCTTTCTTCTAACGCAGTTAAGTTGATATACTGGTATTATTTTTGTCCATGATTATGACAGAAAATATTGGTATTTCCAGTCATAGTTACAAATTAAAAAAGAAGCGGCACCCCATCATAATATAAGCTAAATATAAGCAATTGGCTCACTTGGATAATTTGAATCCATCAATCAATTATAAGAACACTTTCAAATTCCCTGATTCTTAAAAAGTTTAGAGATAACTTTCTCTCTGCTTCTTCTCGTTACAGGGTTTTAGCAGTTTTTCAGTCTAAACATGTAGACTAAATTTTGTGGAATGGAAGAGAATTCAATGGGACAGGGGGTAGGGGAGGCAGCCAGCACAGATGAAAAAATGAAGACCAAGGAAGGCAAGGCCAGGAGTGATGACTGAGATAAAGTGAAGCACACTTACAACGAGTGGAAAGAATAGGACCCCACATAATATGCTACACTTCAATGGCTGAAAACATACTCTCTGAGAATAGAGGGGAAGGTCAATGTTAGGGACTCCAGTTCCCCAGAGTTGACAGCTTAGGCCAGTGGTTTGAGTACCACAGAAGGCCAGAATAAAGGGGCTCTGAAGGTCAGGGCTTCAAGGAGACATGTAGGTAATTAAAGGTTCAACCCTAAAAGAGACAGAAGAAGCTTACACAATACTTCACTCATGTGGCTTCAGGGAGCTCTGGTGCACCTCTTGCTCAAAATGGTAGAATCTGATAAGAGGAACTAAGACAAGAACCACATGAAATAGCTTCACCTCAAAAAAACTGTGATTCCCATTTGGAGAATTCTCTCCAAGTTTCCACTAGGAATTTCAATGGATTCAACATTTACTAAGTACTGAGTTCAGCCATTGCAAATACAAAAATAAAAAAATAATCTGGTTCTTTTACTCCAGGAGCTCACAGTCTAGGGTAAAACCACATTTATATTATAATGTAATAAATTATGAAATGAAATTATGTAAAAAATGCTAACAGAACACAAAAGAAATTGTGATTATGAGAAGATAAACACTCTCTGTGACACCTGGGTTGACAGTCAAATTTAGACCTCATCACACCTGATAACAAACTATTATTTCTCCAATAGGAAAATATGATAATACCTGATGAGAAAAGTCTTCAGGTACAAAAAGACGAAGCTGTAACATTATTACCCCCCAAGAAAGAAAATGATGGTAAGTACAAATACTCTATAATCTAATTTTTTCTAAAAGAACCTTTAAAAATAACTGCAGGAACTTTATCTTATAGTAATAAAAAATTACCTCAAGATAACAGTAAATGTAAACTGAAATTTTAGCTCCAGTGGTAAAGACAAGCAAATTATTGGGAGTGCAATCATTTGTCACTGCACACTATGAATGAGAATATGGAACAGGAGCATTCAAGAACAACCAAAGCTTAGTCCAAGCTTACCATCTGCAGAATGTATGTTTATACCCAAATGAAATCAATTCCAGAAATACTTAAAGATTGATCATTTCCTGAATACAATGCACAGCCTCAGGATAAGGTAAATAAAATGTAATTCTTGGCTTCAAGAAACTCACCGAAGAGAAATGGCTCTTTTTATAATTAACTAAAATGTCCATTTCCATTAAACTAATAGAGAACTTATAGTAAAATAAGTTCCATTTAATAGTTCCTATGTATTCCGTTTATCCCTGCTCTAAAACAGAACATTATTTCATACAAAATCATGAAAAATACACATTAATTTCTATAATGCTACAATAAATTTAAAATGAACCAAGCAGAAAATACATCTTAAAGTACCTTAGGAAAAGCAGACTTGGACAAATGGTCATTCCTTGTTCTTAGATAGGATGACTCAATATCATAAAAATGGCAGTTATCTCTAAGTTCACTAAAATTACTAAAAACTTATAAAAGCTGGAAAAACAGATTCTAAAGTTCATATGGAAAAACATGCACAAACACAGGGGGAAGCACTGAACAATGTCTGGTATATGCAGAATGAGACCTACCACACATTAAAACATATTATAATTTAAAAATTGTGAATCCTAGTGCATGAATAGATAGAAATGTAGCACACAGTACCAACTTAAATCACTGACACAAAAATGGTACTTTTAAAAAACTGAGGCTGGGGCTGGGGCTGGGGTTGTGGCTCAGTGGTAGACGAGGCCCTGGGTTCGATCCTCAGCACCTCATAAAAAATAAATTAAATAAAGGTATTATGACCAACTACAACTAAAAAATAAATATTTTTTAACAAACTGGGGCTGGTAAAACTACACATCCATTTGAAAAGGGATATAATTAGATTCATACTTTAGACAAAAACAAAAAACAAAAACCATACTCCAAGTAGATTAGGGATCCAAATGTTTATGATGAAAATACATGCACTAGAAGGCACCCTGTGTGGAACATCTCAAAGTTCAGATATATTAACAGAAAAGATCATTACATTTGATTCCATTAAACTTTTGCAAGCTGGGAATGATGAGATTCCAACAGCAATGGGCACACCCAGAACCGAGATCTTGGTTTCTAATACCATTCTGCACTAAAAAGAACCAGTACTTTTTGAAGAGAGAACTCACTTTAGGATTGAGGTAGGGAAAATGCAAGATTTGTCTGGGACATCTTTCTAGGACAAAAAATAAAGACTTTCTCAAAGAATAATAGATGTATATAATATTTTTTAAAAATTCATCAAAATGTATGAAATACACAAGTAAATATGTAGAAAATATATATAAGTCCTATACACTGAAAGTCAGACAATACTATTGAGAGAAATTAAAGAAGATTTAAATATATGGAGAAATATATTGTGTTCAAAGTCTGGAATACTTAATAACAATCAAGATATCAATTTTCCCCAAACATAAATGCAACTCAACACAACTCCAATCAAAATTCTAACAGGCTTTTTCAAGATTTTATTTTAAATTAAAAGCTGTGTCTAAATTTGTATGGAAAAAGGCAGTTGTAGTGGCATATGCCTTTAATCCCAGCAACTTTGGCAGTTAAGACAGGAGGATAACAAGTTTGAAGCCAGCCTTGGCAACTTAGCAAGATCCTGTCTCAAAATAAAAATAAAAAGGGTTGGGGATGTAGCTCAGTATATGAGTGCCCCTGGGTTCCATACCTAGTACAAAAAATAAAAAATAAAATTTATATGGATATACAAAGCACCTATAATACTCAAAACAATGTTGAAGAAGAATAAAGTTGGAGAATTTATACGACATCATAGCAAGACTTATAAAAGTACAAGAATCAAGATATTGTGGTATTGGTGTAAAAATAAAATTTTAAAAACATCAATGGAACAAAATAAAAATCCAAGGGTTTATACAATATGGTGAACCAGTTTTTGAAAATGTGCCAACACAAATCAGTGGGGGAAAGGTTAATCTTTCCCCAAAATTATGTTGAAATACCAACAGCCATAACAGAGAAAAAAAAGATATTAACCTTTTTTATTACCATATTTACCATAAAAGTTAACTCAAAATGGACCAGTGCCTAAATGTAAAGAGCTTAAACTATACAACTTGTGGTGGTGGTGGGGGGGGGATTAAAATCTTAGTGATTGTTGTAGTTTGAATCTAAAAATGTGCCCCCAAAATTCATGTGTTAAAGATAGCTTCCAAAGCTGATGGCACTATTAGGAGGGATGGAAACTTTAGGCAGTGGGGCCTAATGGGAGGGATTTAGGGGTGTGCCCTTTGAGGGTATATTGGGACCCTGGGCCCATCCTCTTTCTCTGCTTCCTGGAGACTATGAGGTGAGCAGCTCTGCTCCACCACATTCTCCCTGCCATGATGTTCTGCCTTGTCATAGACCCAAAAGGAATTGTGCCAACAACTGACCATGGACTGAAACCTCTGAAACTGTGAGCCAAAAATAAATATTTCTTCAAGTTGATTCTCTCAAGTGTTTTGCCACCGTGACAGAAAGCTAACACAGGGACTACCAAATAGTTCATAAAAACAATAGCAACAACAAAAAATATGTATATAAAGCAATCATTCATTAAAATTTAAAATATTTGTATTTCAAAAGACACTGACAAAAAATAAAAAGACAAGTTACAACTGGGGTAAACATTTATGAAACATAAATATGACAAATGACTTATATCTAGAATACATAATCCTACAAGTCAATAATTGTACAAAAATCCAGTTAAAAAATAAGCAAAACATATGAATAGACACTTTACCAAGGAAAATTTGAGGATGTCAAATAAGTACATAAAAAATGTTCAATATTACTTGTGATTAGGGAAATGCAAATTACATAATGACATACAACACACTCTACTTGAAGGCTAAAATTAAAAAGACTGACCATATCAAATGTTGATAAGGATATACAGCAACTAGAGTTCTCATACATTGTGGTGGAAATGTTAAAAATGGCATAGTCCCTTAGAAAATAGTTGAAGACTTTCTTCAAAAGATAAAACTTACACTCATAATACAATCCAGTCATTCCATTTCTTGGTATGTACTTGAGAATTGAAAGAATTAAGTCTACAAAAATCTGTGTGTAAGTGTTCACAGAAGCTTTCTTAGAAATGGCCAAAACCTGACCCAAATGTCTATAAGAGCCGATGTACTGATTGTATACACTTAGACAATGAAATAATAATAAAGAGGAATGAATCACTGAAACACTCAACAATGGTTGAATCTCAAAATAACTATGTGGAGTGAAAGAAGCCAGACAAAAGAATATATAGTGAATTATTCTTTTTTTTTTAATTTTTATTGTAGGTTGTTCAAAACATTACATAGTTCTTGATATATCATATTTCACACTTTGATTCAAGTGGGTTATGAACTCCCATTTTTACCCCATATACAGATTGCAGAATCACATCAGTTACACATCCATTGATTTATATATTGCCATACTAGTGTCTGTTGTATTCTGCTGCCTTTCCTATCCTCTACTATCCCCCCTCCTCTCCCCTCCCCTCCCCTCCCCTCCCCTCTTCTCTCTCTACCCCCTCTACTGTCATTCATTTCTCCCCCTTGTATTATTTTTCCCTTTCCCCTCACTTCCTCTTGTATGTAATTTTGTATAACCCTGAGGGTCTCCTTCCATTTCCATGCAATTTCCCTTCTCTCTCCCTTTCCCTCCCACCTCTCATCCCTGTTTAATGTTAATCTTCTTCTCATGCTCTTCGTCCCTACTCTGTTCTTAGTTACTCTCCTTATATCAAAGAAGACATTTGGCATTTGATTTTTAGGGATTGGCTAGCTTCACTTAGCATAATCTGCTCTAATGCCATTCATTTCCCTGCAAATTCTATGATTTTGTCATTTTTTAATGCAGAGTAATACTCCATTGTGTATAAATGCCACATTTTTTTTTAATCCATTCGTCTATTGAAGGGCATCTAGGTTGGTTCCACAGTCTTGCTATTGTGAATTGTGCTAAATTATTCTTTTCTTATAAAATTCTCCTAAATTCAAAGTAATGAAAGCAGATCAGTGGTTGCTTGGCAACAAGAGTGGGAGAAAGGTATTATAAGGGGCATGAAAAAATTTGGGGGTGGGGATGGATATATCAATTGTCTCAATTAGAGTGAAAGTCTTGTGGGTACATACATATGTCAAATACAAATTGTACAATTTAAATATATGAATTTACTCAATTAGCCATAAAAAATTGTGGGAGAAAAAGCTTAAAAAAAAAAAGCCAGCTAATCCATGACAATTTGATTATTAAAACAAACATGATGGTAACTGATTATGACTCATGAATAGAAAATCCATGAATTCATATTGATATAAAAAATAAATAGGAAAAGAATGGTCCACTTTACAGCAGAACACCAACTAACAAAAACATAAGGGATGATGCAATTAGATACTCGCTACTTGGCAACTATCCTAATAAGGAATGAGTCGGGCCTGGAACAGTGGCACATGCCTGTAATCCCAGTGGCTCAGGAGGCTGAGACAAGGGGATCCTGAGTTCAAAGCCAGCCTCAGCAATGGTGAGGCATAAGCAACTCAGTGAGACCCTGTCACTAAATAAAATACAAAACAGGTCTGGGGATGTGGACCAGTGGTTGAATGCCTGAGTTCAATCCCTGGTTCAAAAAAAAAAAAAAAAAATCATTCAGTTAAGAATTATTGATGCATCCTAAAACAGTGGATAAAAGTTTGACAACACATCAAATTTTTTTGTGTGTTTTTGTCTCAAAGTACTTTTCCAAAAGATATTATTAATTACAAGATGAAAAATAGTAACCTTACAGAGTGAGAAACATGGCAGACCCATTTTAGCCATATGACCAAAAACATTATCAGGAATGAGACAGATACCAAGTGTCTCCTGATACGCAACACTGAGGACACAACGCCATTTTCAAGGTATTCCAGCCAAAAAATGAAATTCTCAGACAAACCCTAATACAAAGAAATTCTGCAAAATAAATGTCAGGGGACAGCAGGGGATGGAGGGTTTTCACTCTTCAAAAATGATACAAAAAACAAAGACTAAGGAACTGCTCCAGGTTAAAAGAAAAAGGTGGGATAAATAAATGCAATCAACGAGTTGGGGCACAAATAACTTCCCAAGTTACCCCGAGGCAACTCAAGTAGAATTCAGACCTGGTATCTGAACAGTGCCTGTGATGACTTCTAATTTTCAAATTAATATTTTGCTCATTCAACTAGTGATTTCTAAAGACTTTAGTCACTGTCACCAATCTGAAATAAATTTATAGATTTAAATTTTTTTTAGACCTTAAAAATTCTAATTATCAAGCACAATGTAGGTCACTGGCTACCATTACTAAATAAATATGCTTACTACTATCATCTATGATTCTGTCAAATACCTTTTCAAATTAATAGTAACATTTTTAATACCAACAATTTTAGCACTAGAGGCTAAATATTTTCAAACTGCTTTTTATACTTTCATGACTTTGTTTCCCAATTTAGAAATGCCCACGTGCCTCTTATGTGTTTGTTTAAGTGGCTCTGTGTACTGTGAAGAAGTTGACATCGATGCTGTACCACCCTTGCCAAAGGAATCAGCCTATCTTTATGCACGATTCAATAAAATTAAAAAGCTGACTGCTAAAGATTTCGCAGACATGCGTAAGTTAAGTTTAAATATGATAGTAGTACTAACTCCTATAAAGAAGTTTGTACATACTTATAGCCTGCCACATATGGAGTTGTCACAAAAATGACTGGTTTGTTGGTAAATATTCTTTCCACTCTGACTTTCTCTGTCATCTTTCTTTACTGGTGATTGATGTCTGTGTCGACAGCCTAACAAACGAACAGCAGTAATTTTTCAACCCTCATAACTCAAGATCCACTTTGCAGACTGAGAGTATAGCTCAATGGCTGAGAGCTTGCCTAGCATGCATCAAGCTCTGGGTTCAATCTCCAGAACTTCTAAAAAGAAAAAGGAAGGAAGGATGGATCCATTGCTTCAGATAGTGAGCACCATCAACATAACTACAATACTTCTCTAACCATAATGTTTTATATTCCACCTTTTCTGTGAAAGCACAGGAACTGCTTTTCTTCATTTTAACTCATGTTTTACAAACCTGGCTATATATTAAAAATATCTGGGCAAGTATTTTTAAAATACTAATACAAAGCTGTATTTCCCAGAGGTTCTAATCCAGGATGTGGCAGAGGCCAGGCATCATCATTAAAAAGAACCAAACTTCTTTGTTGCAAATAGTGGCATTTAACTTTCCCAGGTCATTAATGATGTTAAACTCCTGGATTCCTATTAAACCTTAACCCAACAAGGGTGTTATCATTTGTATAGCAGAAGGCTCTACCTCTTCAGTATAAAACCTCATTGGATCATTGATTTCTTGTCAGTTTCTTAGACTCTGTAGCTCAGTGGTAGAGTGCTTGCCTAGCACATGCAAGACCCTGGGTTCGATCCTCAGTACCACATAAAAATAAATAAATAAAATAAAAGGTATTGTGTCCATCTACAATTAAAAAAAAAAAAATATATATATATATATATATACACACACACACACACACACACACTAAAAACATCACACACACATAGGAATGTGCACTGACCTCATTATACATTTACTGTATTAACTATAACTGCATTCATGCTGCCAGTAGTATCTCCCAACTGTGGAATGAAGTACATTTCATTCTCATGATTTGGGATCCCTTATTTGCAAATTAACCTACTTGCTAATGTCTTTTTGTAACCTCCAAATCAATACACATGATACTTTCGTGATCATTAGCAGATACAAATGGAGCAGCAAAAAAAAAAAATTGAGTTATTTAAAATGAGCATCCCCAGCTGAGGCTGAACAAAACAAAACTCTCTTCTGATTTCAACTCTCATACTGTAAATAAATGCTTATTCAGTCTATTTAGTGACATGTTTTCTGTAGTTTTATCCTTTTTATTGATAATTTTACTGTTGAAAAGAGCCCAAGACTAGTGCTGCAGTGCTCCATAGCATTTCTAAGTGCAGGAAGGCTGTGATATGCTTTACAGAGAAAATACATGTGCCCAATAAACTACATTCAGGCATAAGGTAATAGTGCAATGTTAATGAGCCAACATTGTACATTAAACAAATTATCTTTAAATAAAAACACATAACAGCAGCAACTGGTTGACAAAAATAACTGACTAAAGGCTCATGGAAACCTAACCTTGTAATTCCCCTAGGAGCAATGGTTCAGTTTTCATTAATTTAATATTTGTAGCAACATTATAGAGATGACTATTGTGGCCTGGCACAGTGGTACATACTTGTAATTCCAGCTACTTGGAAAGTCAAGGTAGGAGGAACACAAGTCTAAAGCCAGCTTCAGCTAGTTGGCATGACCTTGTCTCAAAATTTGAAAATTTAAAAAGAGCTGGAAATGTGCACACCAGGCGTGGTTGTGCACACCTGTAATCCCAGAAACAGGAGGATTGTGAGTTTAAAAGCAGTCTTAGCAACTTAGTGAGGCCTTAAGCAACTCGTTAGACCCTGTCTCTAAATAAAATATAAGGGCTGGGGATATGGCTCAGTGGTAGAAGACCCCTGGGTTCCATTCCTAGTACCACAGGGGGAGGAGAAAAACTAATATGAATGAGTACCAACTGTATTTCTCAATCATCTTGGAAAAAGTGATATGCACATACATATGCACACTGAATTTCTCAATCTCTCAATCTGCATGACTGTTACAAATCAGGAAACACTTAAGTAATAAGGCTTAGAGAGATTAAAGTAACATACCCACAATTACAATGCAATGTGCTGGCCAAAAATTTTTTTCAAAAGCACTAATTACATGATTCCAGTCAATCTAATGTTATGCTTACTTCCCATGATTTGCAATAAGAATTTATTTCAATCTGCCTATGCATCCTGAGAAATTCAAATAGAGAACTATGGAAAGACTACTTAAAATCTCTTCCAAACCTGAGATTCTTGGACTGCAGTTAGACAAAGCATTATCGTTAGACACAAAGAGATATTCGGTGTTCAACAAAATTCTACTGATGCAGCTTGAGATGTATCACATAGTAGAGATTGACGCAAGACCTGAAGTTCAATTCTTAGCACCATCCACACAAATGATAACAACAGTAAACTTTCCTGAGCAGACACTCTAGTAGGCACTAAAGAAAAGATGTGATCTGTTAAACAAATGCTTTCTTCAGGCAACAACAAGATTTTTTTTTTCCCCCTCAAGCTAACTTAAGAAGACTTGATTTTACGGGAAACTTGATAGAAGATATAGAAGATGGTACTTTTTCAAAACTTTCTCTGTTAGAAGAGCTTTCGCTTGCTGAAAATCAACTACTGAAACTTCCAGTTCTTCCTCCAAAGCTTACTTTATTTAATGCAAAATACAACAAAATCAAGAGCAGAGGGATCAAAGCAAATACATTCAAAGTAAGTATTTCATCATATGGCTGAACACAGTATCAGCGATAAAATATTAAAAGAGAGAGAAACTTTGGTCAGTAATTCTGTTTTGATTACTTATTTTTTCTTTCTTTCTTTTTTTGAAATGCTCTTGCTATCTTGCCAGCCTTGAACTCCTGGGTTCAAATGACCCTCCTACCTCAGACTCCAGAGTTGCTGAGATGACAGGGGTGTGACACCTCATGCAGATTTTGTTTGGATGACCATTGAAGACTATTTTGATGAAATAAATGAAGATATTTCTTTCATAACAAAGAGCCATTATACATTATACAATGTATAATGTGTCCATAAATGTATAGTCTCTTGAAAAATGTTAAAATATTTCACTTCTCTTCCCTTTTTGTTTATATTTAAGATCTCCTTTTTCAATTTTAAGAGAGATTTTAAAGTTAGATCAGAGTTCCTGATATGTTTCTGATAAGGAACTCAGAAGTTAAGAGGCTTTTAGCAGACTTTTTAAAAGCATACTCACTTCTTAAAACTTGTAATTTCAAGATATAAATTTAAGTAGGGCATCTTTGAATAATTGGCGTACTAAAGACTTACCAGATAATCAACATTTCATTAAAAAACAAAAAAATGTTGAGCTGGGCACAGTATCACATGCCTATAGTCGATATTATTTGGAATGCTGCAGCAGGAGAATCATTTGAGCCCAGGAGTTTAAGGCCAGCCTAGGCAAGACAGTGAGACTCCTTATGGGGGCAGGGGGTGAGGAATGTTTCAAGTACTTGTGGTTTTACACATATAGAGAGGATTCATGACAACTTGAATGAAAATGATAAATTTGGCCTTTTTGTAGCTTTGCTAAATGCCCTAGGATTATAACAGATACTAGTAAAATAAGGTTACTATAATTCACATAAATGAGACCCACTGGGAATATAGGTGCTTGTTACCCATATGTTGGAAAAGCAGGATGCTTTTACAAAGGAATTTAATAGTACAGAAAAGAATTAGCAAGATCTGATACAGAATGCATATCAAAGTTAAGGTAAAACAGCAATATCTAGGAAAACTATAGTATATAATTATACACTTTAATGAGTTAGTGTTCACGAAGAGTAACCCAACATGAATTCCTTATGGAAAAAGCCATAGCAAGTTAAGTGTTTCATAAATTGCTTCAGGAAACATGTTGCTCAACATACATCTGTTAGGTGTGACTGCTTCACTACAAGTTGGTGGAGTTGAAATGGGAAGCTTCAGAAAATCAAGAGAGGTTAGGACAGCATCAGGATCCAAAAAGCAATTTCCCACAGTAAGTGAACTCATTAAGCTGTTTCCAGGACAAATTCAAAGGGCCCAGAAAGATCATGGCATCAAAGCTTGGTATTCAGAGATGAGATGAATGGACAGAAACTTGAGGTAAGAAGCAGAGCTTTGCTGGTCATCATAAAGGCCATAAAGGACCAAAATACACTAGTTGTGAAGCCAAACAGTGATGACCAAAACAAGAAACTATCATACCAAGCATATGTACTATTGATATGTGTTCATACCAATATTCTTTTATAGAAATTGCTTGAATCCAGTGAAGGAATACACAAACCTCAATAACACTCCAACTAAATTTTCCTTTCAGAAATTGAATAATCTCTCCTTCCTCTACCTGGACCATAATTCCCTGGAATCTGTGCCTCCTAACTTACCAGAAAGTCTACGTATAATTCATCTTCAGGTATAATTGCTCTTATTACAATCTCTGGCTTTGAGTACCTATGGGTCATTCTTAAAATTCACTGGGAAAGTCACTTGTAAATTACGGTTAGATGACTACGGCAGTGCAATAGCTCAATGTTCATCAAAAGTATTAATATTTAGTCAAATGAACCTTCCTGCCCAGAAGCTGAGATTAGAACCAGATCAGCCACTGGTTACACCCACTACAGGTGTAAAGAATGCTCTTAAGTGAAATTTGTGTCCAATGTACACTTGGCATCTCTTAGCTAATCTTAACACATGGACTTACAGTGAGGGGGCACTGGGACCTCTAATTCATGTCTCTTTCTCCAAACAGGTAAACATTTCTAAGTACAACATCAAGTAGGGAATGCAAAAGTGAAGGAGGAATGAAAACAAAAAACTGAAATTGTTTTTTCAGAATCATAAGAATTCCAACTTGCGTTACTTCCTTAGAGAATACCTAAGGACACAGTACATTTTTGGAAGTGACACTCTAGAATAGGATACTTTCTCCATTTAATATAAGCCTATTTACATTCAGAACTTTGTGCTACACAAAAATTACTTTTTAATAATTGATAGTCTATTCTTCCAAAATATCATTGTACACTTAAAAAGTGGTGCTCAGACTGCACAGTTTTATTATCATGAGATACACTTTTTTGAAAAAATATTCCATGGGATCCTACTACATAGCAACAGATGGTTGATTTCAGATTTATGATCAATTTTTATTTCTTTTGTTTTTCAGTTTAACAACATAACTTCAATTACAGATGATACATTCTGCAAGGCTAATGACACTCGTTACATTCGGGATCGGATCGAAGAGATTCGCCTGGAGGGCAACCCAATCATCCTGGGAAAGCATCCAAACAGTTTTATTTGCTTAAAAAGACTACCTATAGGGTCATACTTTTAATCACTATCAATACAGCTTGTAAGCTAAAGTACACATACATATAATCTGTCTAAACATTTTCTAAAGGATCATAAATACAGGTTTAATATTAACTTTTTATCCCACTGAGATGGAATTTTATGTTTTAAACAAAGATTTGAACCATCTTACATAACTGAATCTCTAAGTTCAAAGTAATGTAATGTGAAAATATTTAAACAGCACTAGAAAACCCCTCTTGATTACACTAGACTACCATTTAAAAGGCATGTTTTTATATAAATACCATTTGGATGTTATTACTCCCCTTACTAATAAAGGAAGAGAAGAAGTCCAAGAAACTTTCAGCTGTCTTTCCTGTCCTTTACTCTATCTCAAAAACATTTAAGGCAGATTTTCCAAAAACTTCAAAAAGCTAAATGTTCCCAGTGATCTCCAATGTTTTTTCGTTTATGATTCATCATTATTTATTATGAAGTAGGAACTTTGATTTCTTCCCGTCAAGGCAGCTATTTTAGCTATATTTTCACTTAGTCTAAGAAAAAAGAGATAGTCTCATGCTTCAGCAAAATTTTCCAAAAGTAGAATTTTATTCTCTGATAAAGACCTAATATAGAAAGGTTCACAGTGTTCTGCTTTGTGGTTATACAATTAAAATCTTAAATAGTAAACATTTTTCTTTTATATAAATATTAACATTCTAAGCCTACCATAAAACATTTTAAAAGTCAAGCAAGTTAAAACCAGTAAGCTTCTAAGAAAAATCAAATCTATCCCATTTCTCAGAGAATAAGATTCCTCCACTGTACAGATTTTCAAATATGAAATAATAGCAAAATATTTTCTTTTTACATTATAGGAATGAGGGTCTCATAAATAAATTTGTTCAAAGATGAAAAAATGAAAACAAAATGTCTTCTGTGGGGTCACTGAACACCATGTGCCACCTGCCCAGACATACACACATTCACCCAAACAAACTGAAAATTCGTAGCAAAGCTTCTCAGCAACATTCTCATGTTTTAGAAACATGAGTCTGATCTGTATACGTAAAAGTACCAATGACATTTCCATTATAAATTATACATTGGAATTGGGTATGTCTTTATATTATACTATTCCCGGAACACTTACTTATTTCCATTAAAATTTTTTTAATATATTTTCTTTTCTTTAAAATATATTTTTTTAGTTGTAGTTGGACACAATTGATTTTATTTATTTTTATGTGGTGCTGAGGATCGAACCCAGCACCTCACACGTGCTAGGCGAGTGCTCTACCACTGAGCCACAACCTCAACCCCTACTTATTCCCATTTTTAACCATTTACTTGTTTTTTCCCCTACCTAGAATGACCCTTCCCACATTTGTCTAGGTAGATGCCAAAATAAAACTTTTTCATTTAAGCATCTGTGATGTCTTAAGGCCACGATTGCTAATCTAATAATGCTTATTAACTTATTCATTGATTGTGGTAATTGATGAGCATAGGTATTTTGTGTGTTTACCCCATTTCTCTGTGACTGAATGCTCACTGAAAAGCCTGGACACCACTTTATCTTCTAAGAAGCCTAGCACAATATCAAGCACATTGGAATTAAACATACAATAAATATTGTAAAATCCACCCAAACAGAAGGGTTCTATTTTATTTGGAAAATAGCCATCTTTAAACTATCATAATCATGAATAAATCAATGAAAATAAACTATAACTGTATCCAGGAATACACACCTAATAAACAAGGGCTTGGTGAAAAGGCTGAGTTTAGGGAGGTGTTAAGTTTCTAGTTTTCAGAAGAATGATTTTTTTTCTATATTCTTTTCATAATAAAACATACTGAGAAAAGCACCACGAAATAAATCACACATTAAAGAAAATTAAGTCTGTAGTTAATCTTAATTAATGAATTTTCTTAAACAAATAATTTTGGGACTTCTAGATAAGAAGATATAACATTGTATCTTCATCTACACATCCTTAAAATAAAAATACAAATTATACCACTGAGAAGGTAAAAGCAGAAATAATAAAGTAAAAATGAGATTCCATTATATTATGTAGATGTTTCATTCTTGATAATAAGAAAAGAGGCTTAAAATTAAAAATGATTTACTCCTTACAAATACAATCTCCAGATTCAAAGCAATTCCTATGAAGGCCACAATTTTTTTTTTCAGAAATAGAAAAATTCACTCTAAAATTCATATGGGAGCTCAACAGACTGCAAGCAAACAAAAGAATATTGAAGAGAAAAAAGGGAATTCTCACACTTCCTTAATTTCAAAACTTACTATAAGCTACAGTCATCAAAATAATGTGATACTGTCATAAATACAGATATATAACCAATAAAATAGACTAATGAGTCCAGAAATAAATACTTAACATATGGTCAAATGATTTTCAAAAGGGGTATCAAGACCACTCAATGGAGAAAGGACAGTCTCTTCAACATAAGCTGCTGGGAAAACTGCATACTCACATGCAAAAGAATGCCTTACCTTACACCACAAACAAAACTTAATCCAAACTTAGTGCAGTGACACATGCTTGTAATACTAGTGGTTCTGGAGGCTGAGGCAGGAGGATCTCAAGTTCATTCTATTTATTTATTTACTTAATTTGTACTTTTTAAATATATATGACAGTAGAGTATATTTTGACAGATTATACATATATGGAGTATAACTTATTCTAATTAGGATACCATTCTTGAGATTGTACATGATGTGGAGTTTCCCTAGAGGTGTATTCATATGTGAACATAGGAAAGTTATGTCCAACTCATTCCACTGTCTTTTCTTTTCCCATCCCAACTCCCTTGCCTTCATTCTCCTTTGTCTAATTCACTGAATTTTATTCTTCCCCTCCTCCACTTATTGTGTTGTTATATACACATATCAGAGAGAACACATGATCTTTGGATCTTGGGATTGGCTTATTTCACTTAGTATGATAGTTTACAGGGCCATCCATTTACCAATAAAAATCGTTTTTAAGGTTGAGTAATATTCCACTGTGTATACACACCACATTTTCTTCATCTGTTGAAGGGAAACTAACCTAGTAGGTTAGCTATTGTGAGTTGTGCTGCTATAAACATTGCCAATACAAAAAATCGTTACAAAAGCAGGCATTGTGCAAAATCATGTGGGATGATAAAGATTGAGTCTTCAGATGCAATGAAAAGAATCACATGTTCATTACACAGATCATTTTATTTGTTATATAGAGATATAAAACATTAAAATAGAATGACTGGTAAACACTGGGCAGGATGTCATGGACTTCAGAGCCAGGAGACTACTTGGAATCAAATCTTGGCTCTGCTGCTTCCTTTTTTTTTTTTTTTTTTTTTAATTTTTTCTGGTGTTCTTTTTAGTTATACATAACAGTAGAATATTTTGACATATTATACATAAATGTATAACTTCCCATTCTGTGGTTGTACATGATGGGGAGTTACAATGGTCATGTATTCATATACTAACATAAGAAACTTATGTCCAATTCATCCACTGTCTTTCCTATTCCCATACCTTCTCCCTTCCCTTTATTCCCTTTTGTCTAAACCAAAGTACCTCTATTCTCCCCCCAACCCTTATTGTGTGTTACCATCCACAATATCAGAGAGAACATTCGGCCTTTGGTTTTTTTAAGATTGATTTATTTCACCTAGCATGATAAGTCTCCGGTTCCATCCATTTAACTATAGAGGCCATAATTTCATTCTTCGTTATGGCTAAGTAACGTTCCACTGTGTATACGTACCACATTCTCTTTATCCATTTATCTGTTGACAGGTACCTAGATTGGTTCCCTGGCTTAGCTATTGTGAATTGAGCTGCTAAAAACATTAATGTGGCTGTGCCACTGCAGTATGCTGATTTTAATTCCTTTGGGATAACTGGGTCAAACTATGGTTTCATTCCAAGTTTTCTGAGGAATCTCCATGCTTCTTTCCCGAGTGGTTGCACCAGTTTGCAGTCCCACCAGCAATATATGAGTGTACCTTTTCCCCCACATCCTCACCAACATTTACTGTTATTTGTATTCTTGATAATTGCCACTCTGACTGGAGTAAGATGAAATCTCAGTGTAGTTTTGATTTGCATTTGTCTACTTGTTAGAGATTTGAACATTTTTTTTTATATATTTGTTGACCGATTGTATTTCTTTTGCTGTGAAGCATCTATTCAGTTCCTTTGCCCATTTATTGATTGGGTTATTTGTTTTTCTGGTGTTAACTTTTTTTGAGTTTTTTATATATCCTGAAGATTATTGCTCTATCTGAGGTGGAAGTGGCAAAGATTTTAGGAGAAATACAAGTTCAAAGCCGGCCTCAGCAACTTAGTAAGGCCCTAAGCAACTTAGTAAGACCTTGTCTCAAAATAAAAAATAAAAAGAGGGGCTGGGGTTGTAGCTCAGTGGTAGAGCACTTGCCTAGCTTGTATAAGGCACTGGGTTCAAGCCTTAGCACCACATAAATAAATAAATAAATAAATAAATAAAGGCAATGTATCTGTCTACAACTAAAAATAGAAAAAGAATTGAAGTATGGACAGTTCAATAAATAAATAAAAAGAGCAGAGATGTGTCTCAGTGGTTAAGTGCCCCTGGGTTCAATTCCTGGTACCACAAACAAACATATAAACAACAACAACAAAAAAAATATCAAAAAACAAAAAAATCAAATACATAGCCTTCAGAGCTAAATTATTAAATTTTGAAAAGAAAACAGAAATAAATCTTTATGACAATTAATATAGTAATAGTTTATTGAATAGGACACAAAAAACACAGGCCATAAAGAAACATGTGAGAAACAGTTTTTTATGAAAATTAAAAATTTCTGTGCATTAACGCTCCTTGGTCTATACCATACCCAAAGGACTTAACAATCAGCATACTACAGTGACGTAGCCACATCAATGTTTATTCCAGCTCAATTCATAATACCTAAACTATGGAGCCAACTTAAATGTCCTTCAATAGAAGAATGGATAAGGAAAATGTGGTATATATATTCAATGGAATACTATTACTGAGCCATAAAGAAGAATGAAATTATGGCATTTGCTGGTAAATGGATGGAGTTGGAGAATATCATGCTAAGTGAAATAAACCAATCCCAAAAGACCAAAGGCCAAATGTTTTCTCTGATATGCAGATGCTAATTCACAATAAATGGGGGGGGAGGGGTACTAGAGAAGAACAGAATTAACTTAGATTAGGTAGAGGGGAGTGAAAGAAGGGGAGGAAGGGGATACATGGATAGGAAGAATAGTAGAATGGTACAGACATTATTAACTTATGTATATGTATGACTGCATGACTGATGTGATTCTACAACATGTACAATCAGAAAAATGAGAAATTATACTTCACCTATGTATGATATATCAAAGTATATAAATGCATTCTATTGTTATGTATAACTAATTAAAACAAATTTTTTAAAAAAGAAAGACACTGTCTTCATCCAGAGAAAGAAACTACATATATATATATATACATATATATGAGAAACCAATTTCTACCATATATATATATATATATATATGAAACTTTACAATTCAACAACAACAAAAAAATCCTAATTCAAAAATGGAAAAAGAACTTACCCATTAAATATACTAATGGCTAAGAAGCACAAGAAAAGACATTAGCATTGCTAATCTACTAGGAAGAGGCAAATCAAAACCACAATGAGATATCACTACATACCTATTAGACTATTAACAAAACAAAACAAAAAATCAAACAAACAAACAAACAAAAAAAAAAAAACAGAAAATACCAAGTGTTGGAGAGGTTTTGGAGAAAGTAGAACCCTTATATTGGTTAATAGGATGTAAAATGGCAGAGCTGCTATGGAAACCAGTTTGTGATTCGTCCAAAAATTCAACTTAGAACTATCCTATGATTCAGCAATTCCATGTCCAGATAAATACTTAAAAGAATTCTGGGCAGGGACATTTGAAGAGATATTGGTACATCTATGTTCAGAGCCACATTATTCTAACAGCCAAAACATGGAAACAACCCAGGTGCCCATCCACACACAAATGGATAAGCAAAACGTGATACATCCACACAAGAAATATTAAGCCTTAAAAAGGAAACCTGAAACATGCTGCAACATTGATAAACGATGATGTGAACTAATCCAGACAAAAAGTCAACTCCTCTTGTATGAGGTACCTGGAATACTCAAATTCACAGAACCAGAAAACATAAAACTGGTTACCAGGGGCTGGGGCAAGGAGGGAATGGGAACTGATGGGTACAGAGTTTCAGTTTTGAATAATGCAAAATATACAGAGAAGATTAATGGTGATGGCTGTAGAAAAAAAAAAAAAATCAATGCTTTTTTCAATCCTAGTTATATTATCACCAGCAAAAGCCAGCTCATGGAGTGCTCTATCCTCCATAGAAACAACATACCAATCATACTTCTTCACTTGCCTGGAGAGCAGCTAGAGTCAAAACAGCTTAGGAAACGGGGACCACAGCTCACAGTTACCATCAGCCACTCCGGAGCATAATAAAACAGCAATACTGGGTGACTCATTCACTACCTCAACTGCCAGCAAATCTCCCAGTCATTATATTTTACCAGTTGTGAAACACAGATATTTAATTGTCCTGGCACAAGACTACATATAAGAAAATATAACAAAATCATGAAAACACCTCAAGGAACCATAGTATGGGAAATGACCATGTTTCATTCTGAAGAAAATCCTCTGCCTGACAAATTTTATTAGCTATGCCAAAGAGAATAAATCTTATAATAATAGTAAAAAAGGAATAGAGCCCAAAATAAAGAGGAGTTAGTATCAATCTTAAAAACAACAGTCATGACCATTAGGCTTTTTAAAAGGAACATGAACCTTAAAATTTTATGTTGACTCTTTCACAGGTGGTTTTTGTATGATTCACCGCTGTCAATAATGTGATACCATCAAGCTAAGAAAGACCTGAATGATTACTGAACAGCCAAACAATTCTGGTTACACCCACAAAACAAATAAAAACAAGTGCTTTAAAGTCTCTCCACCAGCCCAAAGACGCATTACTTCACAAAACAGACTTCAATATTTAAACTAAAAATGTGCAAGAATTAAGAGGTTCAAAATACAGTCTGGATCAGGAAGTTAAGATTATAGTACTTCATGACAAGCCTGCTCTGACTGTATTTTTTAGTAGAATTTATTATTTTATTTCAAGTACCCTTGAAAGACTGATTTTTCAAAATGTACATCTTAAAATACATTAAAATTTTACTCTATTTCTTTCAAAACAACCCACAATATAAATTAGTCACTAGTTTATACTGAAGCTTCTTCTCAATTTATTACAAAGAACTGCAAATTCCTGAAGTCAATGGAAATATTTTCTCTTCTTTGAAAACTTTGAGAAAACTATGCTATGACTGAATCTCCAAATTTACAACCAGTTTCATTTTCCATATATGTTTAAATTCAAAGACTTTAAACTTTACCTTGAAATGTTTAAATGTGCGCTTACGACACTTGTACCACTCCACAAAAAAATGTAGGCTTCGGAAGAACATGAATAAATCTCTTTTTTCTTCAGCTCTGTAGAAATAAGAGAGTATGATTAATAAATACTATTAAATGATAGACCAAATCTAGCTTTACTTCTTATTCTTCCTTTTTATGTTCTATGCTAACACTAAAAAAGTACTGGATATACTTCTACATACTAAACCTTGAACTTATGCATGTTTTTCACTTTATGATTGCTACTATCTCAGACTGAAATGCCCTTTCCAAATGTTTAAGTCCTATCAATCTTTCAAATGCCATATTATCCAAGAAATCTTATTTGATGAATATGGTACAATAAGGAATAGTTAAGAATTTATGTTGGGCTGGGTGCAGTGGTGCATACTTCTAATCCCAACAACTCAGGAGGCTGAGGAAGGAGGATTGCAAGCTTGAGGACAGTCTCCACAATTTAGGGAGACTTTGTCTCAAAATATAAAAAGGGCTGCAGATGTAGCTCAGTAGTAAAGTGACCCTGGGTTCAATCCCCAGTACGAAAAAAAAAAATATTTATGTGCCAGTTTAGGGCACAGTTTAGCCACATTAGTAAAGGGATGGACCTGGACTAGCGAGACCTCCAGGAAGAAAGAGTACTGACGAGTGAGCTCAATCACATGGCCAATAATTTAATCAATCATGCCTATGTAAACCCAAATAAAAACTCTGAACCTAGGAGCTCAGTGGAACCTCCTGACTGGGGAACATTTTGATTTGCTGGGAGGGTGATATGCTAGATTCTACAAGAAAGATGTCTATCCCCAGCCCCTTGCCCTTCCTCTCACAGCCACCAGCTATGTATGTACTGCTTCCATTTGGTTGTTTCTAAATTTTAACCTTAATAATAAAATGGTAATTATGAGCATAGTGTTTTCAGCAAGCTCCTCATGGTTTTAGCAACTATTGAACCCAGGGGCCTAACAGGAACTCCTGAATTCATAGCCTATCAGTTATTAATGCAGGTGGACCCTAAAACTTGGAGCTGGGGTCTAAAAGGAGGCAGTCTTGTGGGGGACCTTGCCCATAACCATAAGTGTCACAACTAAACTATACTGCATAATTCCTGCAACACATATCCTATTCCCTAATAGCTATAAATAATTTCATTTCTTTCCCTATGAGCTCCCATAGAAATCTGTCTTAATTCACCTAATACTTTATCTATTGTAACACTGTCAGCCACATAAACTATGAGCAAGTTGGGGCCAAAATCTGTTAGTTCAATTTATTCATTCACTAAATAAATGGTTGTTGGAATCGAGTTCCTGCTCAAGCTATAATGGAATAAGCACATCAACTGAAAAGCTCCCATTAACTGTAACTGAAAACACTGGACACACAGAGAAAGCAAACATGAGAAGATCTGAAATTTTGGCAGAAAAAAAGCAGAATTGGTAGTATTCTGGAATCTAAGAAAGACCTGATGATGAATTCCTTGGAGTTTATTTTTGCCTCCTATATATACCAGTTTGGATACTTGAGCTGCCTGTAACCCAGAACTACCAAAGGGTGCAGATAAAACTACAACCACAAGAAGTTAGGGAAAGACCACTCCCTTTAGCCAGCAGAGGGGGGCACTGCAGAATGGAACCCTAATACTGCATTCCTTTGGCTCCCAATCAAACACTGAGTGGGGCATGAAGCCTGTCAACTGGCTCTGTCAGCAATAAGCAAAAGCATGTTGAGCAGTTCCTTCCCTTCCCAATTGGGTGCTGAGCTGAGGAGACTGTGAAGGAAACTGAGTCAGTCAGCCCCCACCTGACATCCAAGAAATCTAACACCGAGCAAATATGAGCAAAGAAAGGGTGCCATTCCTATAGCCCAAAGTATACTTGTGACATGCTGCACAGAGGGGGTGCTCTGCCACTTTTCCTCACTCTACACTAAGCAGAGAAGGGCCAGAATCAGGAGGAACCTAAAGAAAGGGATCCTTTACCTGTTTTAATGAAGTCCTGGAATGACTACATTTGTCTCATACACAAAACCAACCAGAATCTACAAAGCAAAACTACTGAGTACTGATCTATGGTGCAGAGTATCACCCAGCATCCTCATCAGCCCCAAGGCAGTATATGAGTTAACAGACAAAAACAAGACATTTGAACTTCATACCATGAAAGTGGGCCACAACATGTTTTTGAATAACATGCATTGATAAGGACAACAGCCAAAATGGCAAACAAAGTAGAGAGCATTAAAGGCCATTCCACCCCAGAAATATAAAATCCACAGCATGGCTGTCAGAACTAGAACTCAGGCAGAGAGCAGAAAGTTTACTGCAACCAAGAAAACACCTAACCAGGAAAAGAGCAATGGAAACAGGGTAGGACAGCTTTGTAGCATTTTAACTTGCCCTTTCCACAACTCCCACCTTGCAGTCTTGAAGATAGTGTGCCACTTTACTGATGTGAGATCCTGAATTGATAACCATAAAAGGGACCATATTCCCAAGGAACTGTTGGTCTTTTTTGACTTGTCTGTGGGTTCTCTAAGGACTAACTTAAGAGGTCTGTATAAGCACAAGAAATTTCTAAAAAATACAGAAGGGTAAATGAATAAGTTTTCACTACCCAGAACAAAATAACGGTGGATGCAAACAACAGATATGTCAAAAAACAAGGTAGGAAAAGAGTGGGAGTGAGCATCTTTGAGGAACAAGGACTCTGAAAAGAGCCCAAGTAAACCAGGAAACTTGAAAGTTACATGAACGCCTGGGGCAGGATGCATGCTCAGAAGAGACCTGGGAAAACCATAAGCCTTCACCTCTGGCTGATCCTTAAGGTAAGGACTAGGCTAAGGCAGAACACTGAGAATCCTGGGTAAGCAATGAACCAGTGTTCCAACATAGAATCAAATGCAAAGATGAGAGATTACACGTGTTCAAATTTTTTTCCTTTTTGCACATCGTAATATTAAAAATTTCCACTACTCAACAATAAGAAAAACTAAGCATGCAAATAATTAAGAAAGCATGGCCCACTGACAGAAAAAACAAATTAATAGAAACTTTTGCTAAGATAACATAAATTGGAATCACTAGCAAAGATGTTCTAAATAACTATCTTAAATATGTTTAAAGAACTCCCAGAAACCAAAATAATAATGTGTAACATCAGTGAAAAGGAAACAATATATAGAGAGAAATAATAAGGAAAAAAAATAGACATTTTAGAATTGAAAAGTATAATAACAAAAATTTAAAACCCACTAAAGAGCTTCAATAGTGGATATAGATAGTCATAAGATTCAGCACAATAAACATAGGTCAAGTAAAATAGTTTAAAATTATCAGTGGGTGGAGTGGTGCATGCCTCTAATCCCAGCAGCTTAGAAGGCTGAGGCAGGAGAATTGCAGTTTTGAGGCCAGCCTCAGCAACTTAGGAAGACCTAGTCTCAAAATTCAAAATAAAGAATAAAAAGGGCTATGGATGTGGCTCAGTGGTTGAACACCCCTTGGTTTAATTCCTGATACAAAAAAAAAAAGAGGTTAAAATTACCATAGCTCAAGTTATCCAGCTCAAGAAAAGAATAAAGAAAATAAACAAGCCTAAGAGATTTGGGGGGCACCAAAAAGAATACCAAAATACATATAACAGAGTTCACAGAAGGAGAGCTAAGAAAGAAAAGATCTCAAAGCAATCTCAAGAAATAATGGTCAACTAGACAAAGGTGCCAAAAACACACACTGGACAAAAGAGAGCCTCTTCAACAAATGGTGCTGGGAAAACTGGAAGTCCATATGCAGCAAAATGAAACTAAACCCCTATCTCTCACCATGCACGAAACTCAACTCAAAGTGGATCAAGGACCTGGGAATTAGACCAGAGAACCTATGCCTAATAGAAGAAAAAGTAGGTCCAAATCTTTATCATGTCAGATTAGGTCCTGACTTAACAAGACTCCTAAAGCACAAGAAATAAAAATCAAGAATCAATAAATGGGATGAATTCAAATTAAAAAGCTTCTTCTCAGCAAAAAGAAATAATCAATGAGGTGAAGAGACAGCCTACGGTATGGGAGCAAATTTTTACCACACATACATCAGATAGAGCACTAATCTCCAGGATATATAAAGAACTCAAAAAACTTAACACCAAAAAAACAACCCAATCAATAAATGAGCTAAGGACCTGAACAGACACTTCTCAGAAGAAGATATACAATAGATCAACAAGTATATGAAAAAGTGTTCAACATCTCTAGTAATTAGAGAAATGCAAATCAAAACTACTCTAAGATTTCATCTCCTCCCAGTCAGAAGGACATTCATCAAGAACACAAGCAACAGCTCTTCAGTCTCGGGACTAAGTCACGGTGACATGGCTAAACACACTCAGAAATTCGGAATCGTCGGTAAATATGGGACCTGCTACGGTGCCTCCCTCCGGAAAATGGTGAAGAAAATTGAAATCAGTCGGCACGCCAAGTATACTTGTTCCTTCTGTGGCAAAACCAAGATGAAGAGATGGGTTGTGGGGATCTGTCACTGTGGTTTCTGCATAAAAACAGTGGTTGGTGGTGCTTGGACCTACAACATCACTTCTGCTGTCACAGTCAAGTCTGCAACCAGAAGGCTGAAGGAACTGAAAGACCAGTAGAAAGTTCTACCATATAGCAAAATTGTGGCTTGTTGTAAATTATATTCACTGGATGTTCTGATGTGAATTGCATTAATATTGCCCTTTCAAAAGAGATTTGTAAATTGAAGCCCTTCTCATTTGAATTGGAAAATTTTGCTGAGATGGGTTATTGTAATTCAGGTGTTTTTCGCCCATTAGTCAGATGATAATGGCATGAAACTAAGTCTTACAGCTTAGGTATATACTTAGCTTTTTTTTGTTGTTGTTTTGTTTTTTTAAACCACTGTTCAATGACTCAGAGATATGTTGACATATAGTACAAAATTTGTTTTAAAGGTGAAATGTGGTAAAATATACAAAGGATATACATAAAAAAAGAATACAAGCAACAGTAAGTGTTGGTGAGGATGTGGGGGGAAAGGTACACTCATACACTGCTGGTGGGACTGCAAA